GGTGGTGTGAGGATAGATGCAGGAAGAAAGATGGTGGTTTTTGATGTGACTCATTTCCACACTCAATTACTTGTGTGTATGTGTGAGTCCTGGGGCCACACACAGAGCCCACTGCTGACTCCCACAGGGGGACATTAATAACAAACATCCTGCTTCACGGTGAAAGAGATGCTCCATGCATCACATTTACTCCTCATTTTCCTCCTGCTGACTCTTGCACCATCGCATCTGCACTTATGCTGCCCTCATTTTACAGTGACACAGAACAAAGCAGCATGAAAACATTGTTCATGCTCTGCATCAACAACACAGCAGCAATTCCTCCTCAGAATTCTTGTTGATAATAAATGAATGGCCCTCACAATGATTTGCTTTATTTCTTTCTTATGAAATGTTAAGGGCCTAAGTTTATGTATTGTAGGAGAATAGATCTATAGTGCATAAAAAAGCTTCTATCTACACTACCGTTCAAAGGTTTGGAGTCACATTGAAATGTCCTTATTTTTGAAGGAAAATCTCTGTACTTTTCAATGAAGATAACTTTAAACTAGTCCTAACTTTAAAGAAATACACTCTATAGATTGCTAATGTGGTAAATGACTATTCTAGCTGCAAATGTCTGGTTTTTGGTGCAATATCTACATAGGTGTATAGAGGCCCATTTCCAGCAACTATCACTCCAGTGTTCTAATGGTACAATGTCTTTGCTCATTGGCTCAGAAGGCTAATTGATGATTAGAAAACCCTTGTGCAATCATGTTCACACATCTGAAAACAGTTTAGCTCGTTACAGAAGCTACAAAACTGACCTTCCTTTGAGCAGATTGAGTTTCTGGAGCATCACATTTGTGGGGTCAATTAAACGCTCAAAATGGCCAGAAAAAGAGAACTTTGATCTGAAACTCCACAGTCTATTCTTGTTCTTAGAAATGAAGGCTATTCCAGGCGAGAAATTGCTAAGAAATTGAAGATTTCCTACAACGGTGTGTACTAGCCCCTTCAGAGGAGCACAAACGGGCTCTAACCAGAGTAGAAAAAGAAGTGAGAGGCCGCGTTGCACAACTGAGCAAGAAGATAAGTACATTAGAGTCTCTAGTTTGAGAAACAGACGCCTCACAGGTCCCCAACTGGCATCTTCATTAAATAGTACCACAAAACACCAGTGTCAACATCTACAGTGAAGAGGTGGCTGCAGGATTCTGGGCTTCAGGGCAGAGAGGCAAAGAAAAAGCCACATCTGAGACTGGCCAATAAAAGAAAAAGATTAAGATCGGCAAAAGAACACAGACATTGGACAGAGGAAGACTGGAAAAAAGTGTTGTGGACGGATGAATCCAAGTTTGAGGTGTTTGGATCACAAAGAAGAACGTTTGTGAGACGCAGAACAAATGAAAAGATGCTGGAAGAATGCCTGACGCCATCTGTTAAGCACGGTGGAGGTAATGTGATGGTCGGGGGTTGCTTTGGTGCTGGTAAGGTGGGAGATTTGTCTGAATAAGGAAGGCTATCACTCCATTTTGCAACGCCATGCCATACCCAGTGGACAGCGCTTGATTGGAGCCAATTACATCCTACAACAGGACAACGACCCTAAACACACCTCCAAATTGTGCAGAACTATTTAGAGCAGAAGCAGGCAGCTGGTATTCTATGGGTAATGGAGCGACCAGCGCAGTCACCAGATCTGAACCCCATTGAGCTGTTGTGGGAGCAGATTGACCATATGGGACGCAGGAAGTGCCCATCCAACCAGAAGGAAGGAATCTGTTACAGAAGTGTGTAATGCATCTAATGAGGACAGATCAGTTGTGGATGTCTGGGAAGGATTTGGACGTGAAACTTTCTGAATATTAAGGACATTTAGACACGCTCTGAGAATCCTTCCCCTATAAATATTGGATTCTTTGTGAATTAATGCCTCTCATTTCCTAATAAGATCCTTGTCTAAAAGACATGCAATGTTTGTTTTTAAAAATGGTGTCGAACCGACCTTCTGACTGATTTTATTTTTATTGTTGGAACAAAACTACAGCAGAGCTTTGCTGATTGAATCAGCAAATAAAACAAGGTGATTGCCTGTAAGGAGGGTGGAGACAGAGGACACTGAGGCTGTTTCTGAATGTCTGCTCTAGCCCCTCTATAGGGCACTATATAGTGGTCACATCTTTTCAGTGTCCGAAAGTCTAGTGGATGAAAAAGTAATGGACTCCAAATTTCCCGCAATGCATCTTTAAAATGAGTGGTCATTGATGGTCACTATACGAGCAATTTTCCCAGACTGCTTTGCAAGAACTCTTTGAATCAATCTGACTGGATGACCTGGTGAACTGGAAAGTGACCTGAGATGACCTGATGTGACTTGGAGCTATAGAAATAAACTGAATAGAATTGAGGTAGAGTAAAACACTTTGGTCCATCAGAAACCGCTATGAAAGTACAAACCAAAAAACTTGAAATTCATAACTGCATATTTCTAAGTGAGTGAAAGGAACAAGTCAGCTTCCTCTGAAAAAACTGGTCCTGACTGCTGGGATGATCAGGGTAATGATGCTGTAGCGAGCCGTCTTTTCTGTCGTTTGTGGGATTGTGAGACAGTTGATTGTCCGTGTTCTTATTTATCTTATCTATTTAGGACTGTTTCTGGTCTGTTTACTATCCTTAGGGGGACCAGGACATTTTTAACCTTAGAGAATCAGTTTAGAGGAATAGTGTGAATTAAATTTAGCTTAAGGTCAGGGGGAGGGTTAAAGGTCAGGGTTTTAACTTTTTCCCCAATTGGAGTTATTTTCATTTTTAGATTATCGTGATTTACTCCTTTAGGAATCTTTGCTAATTTATTAGATTTTAGACGTGGGTAAGACCCTGTCTGGATGGAGTAAAGAGTGGGTAACAGTAGAGAAGCTGCAGAGATGTCTGTTAAACTAAGACTCTGCTTCCTGGTCTGCAGCCTGGGTGGTCAGAGTTTAAACTGATTTCAGATAATAAAGTAAAAAATCTTGGTGTTGTTTTTGATCAGGACCTGTCATTTAAATCCCAGA